TCGCGCCGTTTACCCAAGTTTATTTGGGAACGACGGTCCGTTTCCGTGGGTGAATTGCACCGTGGCCAACCGTAAATTTCGTCCGCGGTAGAATCTTCGTGGGCGATTATTCGCCGCGGGCGTCCAAGATACGCGATGATGAAACCAAACACCGAGTCGAGGCGAGTCGAGGCGAGTCGGGCCGGGTCGAGCGGAGTCGACTCGAGTCGAGTCGAGTCGAGTCGAGGCCCCGTTCGGACGGACGTCTGGCTGCGAGAGCAAAGCAGCCACGGTCGTTTCCAGAATTCCGATGAGACACCTCACCTGGCCGCGCGAAACGGCCGTTTCTCGGCCAAGAAATTAACGCCCGGTCAAACACACGCCCGGGACTACTACTACCCGTCTCGCCGAAAAAAACCTCGTCCGTTAAATCATTCATTAACAAAAGGAACCAACCGACCCCTCCGACTTCGTCCCCTTCGGCCACCGTCCAACGGTCCCAACGCGACGCGACGCGACGCGACGCGATGCGACGCTTCAAGCTCGCAGCAAAAAAGAGTATCTTCCTGGCGATGCGTGGTCACACTTTCGTCGCGACACGAGGAAACCTCTTTTTAGAAAGGATTTCGCGCCGATCGCCCGTCGGCCGAGGCTGGACCGCGAGAAACGTCGTCCGGGACGGATGGGTTTTTTGCCCGCCGGAGAAAAAAGGAACGAGGACGTCGGGCGCCGGACAAAAACGATCCCTTTGCACGGGTCGAGGAAAAAACGGGTCTACGGGGTTTATCTCGATAACGAACGGCTACTCCGCGCGCTAGTATAGCCTCTGTCGAGTTCGATAGGAGCGCGCGGCGCGCTTTCGGTGTGCGTTCGATAGGTCGCGCCGGGCGTTTTCGAACAGGTCCGGCTCGAGCCGGCTACTCACCATGTTGATGCAGCTTCCCGCCGCCGACGGCCTGTTGCTGTAATTGTCTGTGCTGATGAGGCTGCTGTAACTGCTGCTGACTTTGCTGACTCTGACTCTGACTCTGACTCTGACTCTGACTCTGCTGTTGCTGCTGCTGCTGCTGCTGCTGCTGCGGGGGCAACGATGTCTGAGCTTGCTGCTGTTGCTGCTGCTGCTGCTGCTGCTGTTGGCGAGAGTCCCGCGCCATGATGGCCGCGATGCTGAAGTCGGTGGCAGATTGGCGATTCGAGTTGCAGTTGTTGTTCAGGTTGTTCAAGAGGCTGCTGTTCGGCGACGGGCTGGAGCTCTCGTCGCCATCGTCGCGGGTGCAGCCGGGTGACAGGCCGGCGGGGACCGCGGAGGCGGCGGCGCCCTCGGCCTGCATTTTTCGTCCCAGGAACAGATGCCGAGATTCCTCGTCGTCCTCTTCGCTGCCGGCTCCTCCGCCGCCGCCGCCGCCGCCACCGCCGCCACCTCCTCCGCC